AGCTGAAGACAGAGAGAAAGATAAAAGTATGTTGGCTGTTGGGCAGGAAGGCTATAGGGTTGCCAACTCCAGGTTGGGAAATTCCTGGACATTTGAGGGGTGGAGCCTGGGGAGGGTGGGATTTCAGACCTGTATGCCACAGACGCCACCCTCCAACGCAGCCATTTCCTCTACGAGAACTACCATTGCCAGCCTCCAGGTGAGGGTTGGATATCACCCAGAATTATAGCTGCTGTACAGGTGAGAGAGAACAGTTCCCCTGGATGAAATGGCTGCTTTGGAGGGTTGAGTCTATGCCATTATACCCTGCTGAGGCTCCTTCTCCCCCCAAGCCTCACTGTCCCAAGGCTCCACCCCCAAATCTCCAGGAATTTCCCAACCTGGAGCTGGCAGCCCTAAGGCTAACTGACCTCTGTAGCTGGGAGATCTGTTGTGATTCCCAGAGAACTGCCACTGTTGCTGTGGGGGGGAGAGGAAAACAGGTGGGCGGCTGGGAGTACCACCACCACTGCTGCTGCTACTGTGTGGGGTGGGGGAGGAAGCAGGCAGGCAGCTGGAAGAGAGATGGGGTGGGGGGCAGAAAGAGAGAGAAAGAGTGATGAGGTGGGGAGGCAGAAAACCAAAGAGAATGATGAGGAGGCAGAAAGACAGAGGAAGTAACATGCATGGAGGAGAGATAGAGAGTAAGAAAAGGGGGGGGCAGAAGGGAGAAAGAGTGAGAGACAGGTAGGGGGAGAGGGGAGGAAGCAAAGGTGTGAGAAATGGGATAACCACCCTACAAGTTTCTTGCGGGCCCCACTCTCCACTTGTCCCATACTATTTCCAATGACCTTCAGGAGTAGATTATAAGAGGTGCAGTCCTAAAAACATCCTATTTTTAAGAGTGGACTTCTCCCAAGGTGAATCATGTGACCTTGTGAAAAGGTACCCCTTTGGTCCAAAGACTGTTTCAGGCAAAATACCTGCATGAGTTGGGGGGCTGCCCCTCTTCTTTTTCTGTTAGCAGAATGTCCATAGGATACAATATACAGTTTCTTAAGATCTAACTAACTTAGACTGCAGTCACACACACTAAATAATCCACTTTCAATCCACTTTCAAACTGGATTTTTATTGTGTGAAGTGCATTGAAAGTAGATTGAAAGTGGATTATTTAGTGTGTGTGACTGCAGCCTTAGTATCTCTATTTATCATTTTAGAAGTTTCAGCTTTTCAAGTTTCTTGCAACTGCACATAAGACTGAATGTATACTTCTGTAAAATAATAATTTGAAATATATATAGGCCTTTTGAAACCATTTTAACAAGAGAGTTATCACTTTTTAAAAAGATTTTCCCTTGAAGAAGAGCATTAGATCCTCAAATGTGTTGGGACACTGATTACTTACTTGCTTAAATAAATCTTCTGTGCACCTTCTAGAACTCTCTGTTCAACAGTGCTTGATGATATCATGTTCATTTGTGGCATTGTAATTTCACCAAACGTTAGGACCCTTTCCCTAATCATTCTAGATAAGCAGAGAAGTAGCAGAGGAAGAAGAGTAAGTCAAGGGGAGAGGGAAAAGGCTTGGTGGTTGAGCACACGCTTTGAATTTATCACTTTTTAGGTAATTGCTTTTCATCCATGGGTAAAGGATCTTCAGCTGCAGGATTGCAAAAGATTTCTGCCTGAAACCCAGAAGAATCCATGCTAGTAAAAAGTAGATTGTACCAGGCTGAAAGGATTAATTGGCTGACACTATGTAAGACAGCATGTAAGATTAATACAGATTAATGTCAAATTTAACAATTCAGAATGAATGCTTCATCAAGTCCATTATTTCTTCTTGAAAGGTCTGATCACATGATGATTTAGTGCTAAAATGGTACTGAAGGTATGTTTCACTTTCAAGGCCAAGTATGTAGTTGAAAAACTGTTCATATTGCCTACTGTCATCACAAAACAACAGAACCTAGAGATACAAACCATTGTGTGTGTGGAAGACTTCTTCAGCATCGGCCCTTTTTTAGATGTAGGACTGGCTAAAGACCAATAAATTCAAATTTTTAGCTGTATTAATTTTGCCTTCCTGAAAACACAGTTTCTATCATGGCTCTGCAGTTAATTGGTCAATCAGTCACTATTATGCTAACATGGGGTGCGGTAGGGGAACTCATTATAAGCTTTTTATATGGCAGCTGGCAATACTTACATTTTAAAAAATAATCCAGATGCATAATTTCATGGGGTCAGTAAAAATCCAGTTTCCCATAGCTTACTGCAGTACAGAAGGTCACGGAGTGTTTTTAGGAGGCAGTGCAATACTTTATATTTTAAAATTCAATAACGTTCCTTAAAAAGATTCCAACATTTAACTTTGTAAAATGGACTTTATATAAACTGTATTATTCAGAATAGCTGTTTGCCGATTAAGCTTATGAAGCTCTAATTCTTTTTACATTTCTACATACATCTACACATGCATTCTGGGCAGAGCTGTATAGCCCAGTTTTAAAGTTATAAAAATTAGCTCTGCAAAAATATTTTGAAGGTATTCATGATTCAGACTCCTACAGGACAAGCCAAAACATTAAGCATTGTATTTTGTTTTTAAACACTTTATTAAACAGTTTTCAGAGAGCAATATTAATCAGAATGTGCAGGAGATCCACTATTTTGAGTGCTAGGAAAATGTAATTTTCTTGGAACACCACTGCTGCCTTTAAGAAGTATGTCTGCATCCCTTCATCTGAGATTCCATTATATATTCAGTTCTCAAAAACAATTCATCTGGATACTTTTTTTACCTTATTAGTGATATCAATGTTACAGTTTGCTTCGCAGAGTGCCATCACAATGGGAACATTTCCATCTTTGCAGGCTACATGAAGAGGTGTATTCCCATGTCTATCCTGGAAATCTATACAACACCCATGATGGATGAGCATTTTAACCACTTCCATCTGACATCTTCGGACTGCAAGGTGAAGGGCTATAAGCCCATCCTAAATGCACACACACAAATACAGGAAATATTTGTCATACCACAAACAGAGTTTCTAAAGGAAATTTTCTGTGGCCAGGATCTGAAGAACTTAACAGTTAGCTTTGCATTCAAAGGGAGTTTTTGTCTTCTGTTTTACAAACTGCACCCCCCCCCCCAATGCCACATAACTTTTAAAAGTAAAAGCAGTTTAAAAACAGACTGTGATATCGCAGGGATATCCTTTGTTAAAAGGAAAAAAAATCAGAACTATCTCTGAGCAAGACTGAGCTCTTGGGTGTGTTTAAAGCAGCTCTTTAAATACCACCTTATTCCTGCGTAGGACAAAATCAAGAATAATATAAAATAGTGACGCCTTAAATTAAATAACTACAAACAAGTTATGCTGCTCTTTTTATTGCACTAAGTTTTATACAATTCTCAATCTTTTTAAATATTACAGAGCTCTTTTTTTAGGCATGCTGTTTTAGAAGTGGGTGAGAAAAAACAGACCCTTGGTCCTAAAAGTAAAATGTTCCCTATGAATAAGACAGTGAAAAACTAAACAAATAAGAAAACAGTAAGGATTAAAATACTTAAAATTGTTTGTCTTGTTCACTTTTGAAAGAGTGCTGTTTATTTTCTTCCTCAAAGCATCCCTTAGATGGTTCTCTGAATTACAGAGAATAACACTGACCTCCTGCTTCCTCATAAAATGAAGGGCAATGTCTAAGGGAAAGAACATATTAATCAAGATAGTAGATCAATCACAGTATGAAAAGTAAATCATACTGGAGGATGGATTCATAAAGCCTCTCTCTTGGCTATCTGTCTTGTATGGATGCAGGCAAGGAAGCTCCTGATGATCTGTTTGCATGTTGAGGATCATACAGTTACAACATGCTGTAGATTGGGTTTGGTTTTTGTTTTGGTTGCCAGATGAAGGCTTCAAAAAGTAAGAGGAATGCAAGCTTTGCTATCATCCTCAAGCAAGCCAAAATGCAACAATTATTCCACTTTCCATCCATTCTTGGGGCTCTAGCAGCATGCCAGATGTGACAATCTCAGCAGCTGAGCACTTACCGCTTCAAGGATTGCTGGAAAAGAGGAGGGAGATTCCCACTTTTCCAGTCATACATTAGACTGCTGTCTCTATCATTGAGGAGGAGCACATACCTGTTGGAGCAGTCCTAGCAGGTGCACTCTCACGGTGCTAAAGACGGATGGAAAGGGGAAGCCTGTTTTACCCTTTTCCAGCCATTCTTGGGGTTTTAACAGCTCGCCTGCTGGGATTGCCCCAGCAAGTATGCACTCCTCCTCAATGGGAGGACTTGTGGAGAGGGGAAATCTCACTTCCTATCATGCCTCTCTTCTCTTCACTAGAGCCAGGGGATGGGCTCTGGTAGCTTTCCCATTTCCCATCACTGCCACCATGGTGCTTCTTACTATCATCGCCATCTATTGCTCCTTCCCCCATCTACTTCGGCACCTCCTCTTTTCCACCTGCTTTTTCTCCCTCCTCCCCTGAGCTATTTCTTGCTTTTTCTGTGTGAGTGTGTTTAAACTGACCAGCTCGGTTGGAGTTTTTCTAAAATAGTAACGTGTGCACTACTGCATGCATGGCATGCACAATTTTTGTGATTTCCCACTGTAGGCCTACTCAGTCACACTGCTGCCTGCCCGTCCCACTTGCTTGCTGCCCTGGCTACGGTGGTGCCTATCTTGGCTTCCTTGCCACTGCTCCGCTCACTCACACCACTGCTTCCTGCCTAAAATATAAGTGCCAGATGCATAAGAAGTAGTTAAAGTGGATTTAACAGATGTAGCTAATACTTATTTCACATCAAACAATGCTTACTTCACATAAAAATAAACGTATTGAAATCATTAATTGAGTACCATATCACATTTCTTCAGAGAATCTTTGTTAAATGATGGGATATTTGAACAAGCTAGGAAAACAATTTTATATAGGTCTTTAGTACTTAATATTTTAACAGGAAGTTCCTTGATAAATGTGATTAATTCAACCATAACTAACCTTGTCAGTAGCATCAAGGTCAGCTCCATGCTCCGCTAAACATTCCACAATATCATGGTAACCTCTAGCTGAGGCTGTCAAGAGTGGCGTTTCACCTTCTTTATTTTTAGCATTCACATTACAACCTGCCTTACAAAGTGCTTTGGTAACAAGGTAGTAGCCGTGCCAAGCAGCACAATGCAAAGGGGTTTCTTCTTCCTATAAAATAATACTGCTATTAATAAATTTGACATATTTTTAAGCAACACTATTAATTTTACCTGCATAAATTAATCTCTTTCTAGATGTACAGCACCAGACTAAAAGCCTTATTCACATGTTGGGATTCACTTGGGAAATCTAACTTTATTCCCAGGTTCAGATTGTACAGCAGGCTTTTATTAATATATTTGCAGATCACAAGCAACACCCACCCAATTAGAGATACTTGAATCGTGAATCTTGCTTCTGTGTGCCCCAATGAACATTACAGAGCATACAATGTTTTTCTTCGCATATTCATGATGATTTCTTCCACCAAGATAACATGACTAAACCCTGAAAGGTTATAGTTATTCCTACCATAATAAAATGGCAAGTGTCACTGTAAATATCATGCAGTGAACTTATACTGCTCTGCCATGACAAAAATAGGAAAGCTGAAAGCAGACTGAGAGAATTTATTTAAATTATGTTTAATAAAAAACCTCATCTAACACAGTTATGGATGAGATTGGAGGGGGCAGTCTTTTCCAACTATTGTGGTTTAGTTACATATATTTACCTATTTGTTTCTTACATATATTTGCATATTTCTTAGTGAATAATTTGTTTGTACACATAAGAAATTTCAATCATCCTGTGCTCAGAGGAAAACATAGCTGGAATCAGTCAATCATAGCAGACAGCAAGTCACGATTTTGGCACAAAGAGCAACAGGAATTGAACACTGGCTGTGGCTGTTTGCAACTGGCTGACTGGCTGGCTGGCTTGCTCATAATGTGTAACTGAGTACCAGCTCAAGTTAGGAGTGTGTTTCCCATATATGGTTGGGGCAAGCCAGATGGCACGGGAGGATAGTGCCTTGCAGCTGAATGCCTTCAGCACCAAGCCCCCTCCATCACACAAGTAATGATGGTACATGGGGTTACCTTCTAACGGTGGCAGAGATCTTGCAATGCCATGTGATCAGAGCTGGCATTTTTTATGTGTGTGTCAAGTTCAAGTAATGATGGTACTTGGGGTTACCCTCTAATGATGGCAGAGATCTTGCAATGCAATGCCATGTGATCGGAGCTGGCATTTTTTATGTGTGTGTCAAGTTGTAATGCGTACTCGTAGCAAGCATCACTTCTACAGTTCTGGGGATTTTAAATCCCTAAGCTGTTATAGTTTTTTTGTGGGTTTTAGATTTTTCTGAAAACCTGGGTTCCATTCACAAGAGGTTCTATTGTGTGGAATTTTTAACCCATACACAGGGACCAATTTGGGAATTAGATATGTATTTTGCAATATTACATGCATATGCACATGCATGCTTACACACAAATAAATACTGTGAACCAGTCATTTGATATGTTTAGACCATTTTAAGTCTTTAATGTTTGTGAATAGGTTTAACCTGAATTTACAAAATGGTAAGACACGTCTTTGCTTAACAAAAGAATAAGGGCTTACCTCTCACTACTCACCTTATCTTGAAAATTTGGATTTGCTCCAATACTACACAGGTACTGTACTACATCAACATGACCATAACGAGATGCCACATGGAGTGCAGTTTCCCCAGACTGCAATTAGAAGACAGACACATACTGTTGTTACCTCTTCTTCTTCTTCTTTTTTAAATTCTATTTATACCCCGCCCTCCCCACAAGTGGGCTCAGGGCGGTTTACAGAATTGGTACCCAGTACCATAAAACCATTACCCAGTACCATAATGTTTAGTACTCCCAAATTATGTCTTATAGAGACATTCTGTGAACACTGGATGATCAAATATATATCTTGCCTTTGCAATTTGCTATGCTAGAACTTCCAAAACATTTTTTGTTCAAAGAGGCTTTTAATTGAATTTTATTTCTTTGCCTTGTCCTCTCTCCACTTCAATATATTTTGTTTTTGTTTTTACGTCTGCTTTAGGGTTGCCAGAAATGCCTCAGCAAATGCCAGGAGATTTGCATAGGGTGGGGGTGGATTTGAAAGGATGTGATGTCACTTTCAGGCAACGCTCTAGGAGTTTTCCCTAACCTCTATGGTAAAGACCAGAAAGAAACAGAGCATTCCTACAGTGTCACTGTGGAGGCCATTTTCTGGCCACTGTTTGCTCCTATTCCTCAATTTTTCTAAGGAGATTGGGGCTGGGGCTGACCCACTGCTGGTGTGGGCATGGCACCTATTATAAAGAACTACTTAAAAAGATAGACGTTTCCATCCTTACCTTGTCTCTAACATCCAAAGGACATTTATTTACATGGAGGAATTTCAGAGTTTCTACGTGACCATGTCGAGATGCCCAATATATGGCATTAGATCCTGCCTGTTCAAAATATTTCACAATAGTAGTCAACAAAATTGTACAAAACTGCTAAAATCCATTGCAAATAAAAAAGCATTAAAAAAATTAGCAATGGCCACAATCTACTTACCTTATCCTTGACATCAATACGGGCACTTCGATTTAGGAATAACTGAAGCATTTGAATATTCCCACATCCAGCAGCAATCAGAAATGGAGGTGTCCCATGCTGTGAATAATAAACTATTAAATACTGATCACTCTTATCAGAGGATACAGGTGAAATGCATGTATGGAAATATTCACGTTACATTTGCTAAAATGCGTATCAGAGATATAACTTTGCTCTATGCTGCTAAAAAGTTGTGTGATGTTCTAGTGAAAGACTGCTCAGATATTTTTGGCAATAAAATAACAGTTAAAAAAGTTATAACCAGGGCTATTTTTGGGGCAGAACGCACCAGAATGGCCTTCCGGCTGCCTTCTGAGCCCAGGGGGTGGACACATGCAGCAAGAACCGACCCTTGCTCCCAGCAGCCCTCAGTCAGGCCACGAGGAGCAAGCGGCAGGGAGGCAAGTTGCAGACCCCATCCCCTCACACACCTTCCTCGGTCCCACGCCAAGGCGCTGGGGCCCGGGGAAGGCCCGAAGAGACCCCTCGCCGGCCTCCCCGGTCCCATGCCAAGGCGTTGGGGCCCAGGGAAGGCCCGAAGAGACCCCCCCAGCCTCCCCAGTCCTGCCCTGGAGCCTGGGGAAGGCCTGAAGAGACCCCCGCCGGCCTCCCCAATCCCACGCCAAGACACTGGGGCCCGGGGAAGGCCCGAAAAGCCCACCTACTGGCCTTCTCCACTCCCCGCTTTGATTGGGGGTGCATGGGCATGATCTGACTGGTGCGGGGTAGCAGCAGTGGAAGCTTCTTTCCTGCTTCTTTCCTTCTCTCTCTCTCTTTCTGTGCTGTCAGGGGTCCCTCCTCCTCCGGCAACTGAGCTCTCCTGCCTAGAGCCAAGGGTGGCGGCGGGGTCTGGTGGCTCCCCTGTCATGCCCACATGGAGGGGGCACTCCTTCCAGTGGCAGAGGCTGTCCTTTTGCCCCAGGGCCCACCAGCTGCTAACCCTGGGAGGGAGGGGGTGCTGCTACTGTGGCTGTGCTGTGTGGGGCCAGGCCAGGAAGCACCCTCTGGGCTCGGCAGGGCTTTCTTTCCCAAGGATCATAGGAGGGTTCGGCTGGCATGGCTGGCACGGCGACCCGAGGAACACGCGGGTAGGCCCACTGCAGGCGGCCCAGATTGACTCGCACTGGTGAGTGTGTGCGTGGTTGGGGCTGGGGAGCGTGTGCGTGGTTGGGGCCGGGGAGCGTGTGCACGGTTGGGGGTGTCCCACCGTCTCCCTGCAGGCTGGGTACAGATCATCACTCTGCCCTGGAAACTTGTTGGGTGACCTTGACACATGCTCAGGCTAACTTAGCCTAACCTGGGAGGGGCTGTGGCTCAGTGGCAGAGCATCTGCTTGGTGTGCAGAAGGCCGCAGGACCAATCCCCGGCATCTCTAGTCAAAAGATCTGGCAGTAGATGATGGGAAAGACCTCAGCCTGAGACCCTGGAGAGAGGCTGCCAGTCTGAGTAGACAGTGCTGACTTTGATGGACCAAGGGGGGTCTGATTCAGTAGAAGGCAGCTTCAGGTGTGTATGTGTACCTCACAAGGTTGTTTGAGGATAAAATGGAGAAAGCAAGAACAGTGTTAGCCACTTTGGGTTCTCCAAGTGAGAAATAAAACAAATAATAAATAAATTGGGGATTTGAACTCCATGGTAGAGCAGAGATTGGAATCCTGGTCTTTCTCTTTGTATTCTAACCTACACTATACCATATATACCATGGTTTTGGCCACTGTGTGACACAGAAGATAGGACTGGATGGGCCACTGGCTTCTCTTATGTTTTTATCCTGACTCAGTTTTACAAGCCTGTGGAACTCCCAAGGGTTGCCACTTCTCTTCAAAGGCAAGGTAGGATTTGGTCGCAAGCAGTGTTTATCAATTCGGTTTTTTCTAACTGAAGACTAAAATGGGGTTTAGTCCCCCCCCCCCCATAAGATTAAATAAAAGCAAAGTATATTGATGGAAATGAATGGAACACGTCCACACCCCAACAGAAGCGTATCTTGAGAGGTCTTATTTGGTAGTTAATTGCATTTGGGGAAAGCACATGTGTTAGAAAACATATCTCCAATGGGCAACTCACAGGAGAAGGTCTATTAGTTTGGGGAAATTATCTTCCAACCAATTAAAATCTTTCTTTTTCTCCAAAGGAAACCAATTTGTGCCTGCCGCCATTAAAGTTTTTAATACTAAAATTTTACCCCAAGTTCTTTATGGTGTGCCTATATGGTTCAGTGCTTTTAACTGTGAAGTTGAATCAATACAATCATCCTTTTTTAGACAAATTATGGGTTTCCCAAACTGTGTCTCTTACCATGCATTGTGCTCTGAATTAGCACTTAGTTTGATTGAAACCAAGACATGGGTGTTAACGGTCCGTTACTGGCTTAAATTATATTTTAACATTGAAGATGGTTCGCTTTTGTCTTTTCTGTTAAAGGAAATTCATAGTACCTCCTGGGACTATAAAATTCGAACCAAAATAAGATCTTTGGGCCTCTCCTTGGAGGAGCTAGCTTTCTCCTCTGAAGTGTATATCTTCCAAACAATCAAACAGAGGCTGGTAGATATTGAACTTCAAAAACTGCAGCCCCTTCATCCCCCTGTCTGTTCTTCAGCTACATTAAGTCTTAAGAATGTTGTGGGATGTATCCCCCTGTATTTGTATAATCTTGATAGCCCTAGCCACCGAAGAGCGTTTTCTCTTGCTCGAGTAAATGCCTTTCCATCAAAACTACTGTATGGTAGGTTTCAAAATATTCCTAAGCATGAACGGAGATGTGACTGCGGTTCTAACTCTCTTGATTCAATTGATCACATATTGTTAGACTGTTCGTGGCATGTATCTGCTAGGGAAAAATGGTTAAACACTTGGTTGCATGGTAAACATCACCT